CCTGCGGCGGTGCCTCGAAGGGCAGAGCAGGGCCACAGGGTGCAACTGCGGGCCGTGCACTCGGGGTTGGGCCTCTGGGCCTTTGGAAAGGCGGGCAGGCGGGCGGGCGGGGAGCAGGGCGACGGTGTCAGCTGTTCCTCTAGGTGGCAAGTGGCCGGCGGCCCTCCCTCTGACCCCCAGCAGGTCCCCAGTCTCAGTCCCGGGACACAGGGGCCGCTTCGGGGAAAAGCACCCCAACCCTTAATAAGAAGCTCTTATTCTTCACAGGCCGGGACCCCAGTCCACATCGCGCCCAGCCACGTGGGAAGGTCTGGTCGCCCCCTACCCAATGAACACACCCCCTGAGGCCCGGGGAGAACAAGAACTTGAGGCCAGAATTCGGCCTTACCCCCTGCTGTCCACCTGAGCAAAGGGTGTGTGTGTGTGTGTGTGTGGTGGGGACTGGAGGGACTGGGGTACCCACTCCCGACCCTTACATGTCGCCCCTTAAATGTGCGCGGGCTGGCCTGGCCTCGCCCCCTCTGTGCACTCAGGTTCCACCCCCTCCCCCCAGCCTGGGGAGACGCCCCCAAGTGGCCTGCACCCCACCCCCTGGAAACTTTGATGGGAAGGTTGTCCGATGCCCCCCCTTAGTGGGTGCAGGGCCCCGAGCTGCGGGGTGGGTGGGGGGAAGGTCACCGCCCCCCTGGCGGCACCTTGCACCCCATCCGCTTGCTCTCCCCACATAGTGCCCGGAGGAAAAGCCACTTGCCCATCACACAGAAGGGAGGGAGGAGGAAGCCGATGGAATGTTGACATTGAAATATTCAAGTGGACGCACAGATCCTTCCAGAAATGCGTGTTGCCATGCCTACCAGGCCCATGAGATAATGCGCATGCTGGTGCCCGGGCTGGGCTGGGCCGGTTCAGAGGCGGATTATATACCCCTGCGCATCGGGGCCTCCCAGGCAATGCTGCCCCCGCCGCCTGAAAAAAATACCCCAAAGCCACCGTGTCCCAGGAAGGAAAGCCCAGGCCCTGCTGAAGGAAACCTACCTGGCTGGGCGCAGCCTCCAGGAGTAACTCTGCGTTTTATTTTTTATTTTATTTTCCCTTTTTCTTGGCCGGGGATTTGCGGGAAGAGTGACCCAACAAATCGCAGCTATTGGGGAAACATCTAGAGCCTCAAATCAAAAAAGAAAAGAAAAAAAAAAGAAAAGAAAAAAAAAGAGAAACCACAGGCCCATGCAAACCCGTTCCTGCCTTTTACAATTCCTTCCTGAGCGAGCGCGCGATGCGCACGCACATACCCGGTTTACTGGTGTCTGGGGAAAGGTTAAACGGCGCCCGGGGCCTGGCTCGGGAGAAAACACACTCTAAAAACACAGACACGGTATTTGGTTTGATCTGTTGCAAAAAAAAAAAAAATGTATTTGATTACTTGAGTAAAATTACAGTATCTCTGTTGTTAGTACGTATTAAATGTTAAAGAAATTGGACCCCCCACCCCTTTCCTTTCAACTTTCCAAGAAAGTGCATGTAACAGTCCAACGGTTCCTTCCAGACCGAACGCAAAATAAACCGACACGAGGCCTGCGCTCTCGACCAAGAAGCAGCCACTTGCTCGCGTGAGGACACATATGTACATTTTAATGAACGTGACAGTTCTCACTGTATTCACAAGAGCATCTACGGTTTCTCCATCGAAGGCTGTTCAAGACGCTATACGTAGCAGCAGCAGCATTGGGAAATTCCAGCACACGTTTGCTATGGTGAAGAGATACCTACAAGGCAAAAAATGTTACGTCTCAGTTCCCACTACCAAAACAACACTTGTATTTTCTCTAGAGAATTCGGCGTGCTCCTTATTGTACAGAAACCTATGAACATCGGGGACAACTCAAGTAAAAAGCACAATACAAGAGCAGTTCAGAACGGAAATGGTTAAATCTACAAAAAAAAAACAAAACAGGTTGAATTTTAGGATAAAAATTTAAAATAAAAAAAGGCAAAACAAACAAAAACCCCAAACCAAAAAAAAAAAAAGAAAAGAAAAAATAAAACCCCAAACCTTTCAAAAGAACCACACTGTTCAGTTTGTACGTCTTTAGTCCTTTTCCTTAATTCTGTTTTTTTTCGGAAGATGAGACAATGCGTTTGCTGAGAAAATGCTCCAGCAGGATCAAAGTGTACATGTATATACAGACTTTATTAGAGATCTAATGCATCGCGGGGGCATGGCGCCCACACCGGATTCGTATTAAACCGGATATAGAAAATAAGTTAATGCCAGATTAAGACCGCCGAGCAGGGCAACTTTTGCAATTGCCATAAATGTTACAGCGAGTTTACAGCACTCTAGTCAATTAGTATTTAGTCCCAAATACAGAAGACCAAAGTTAACACGCTTGCATTCTGTCTGCAGAGCCGGGTTATATCACTAATAAATAAGCTTTCTGAGAACTCTAGAAGTGGAACAAGGTACAAAAGAATGTCTT